TAGCTTGAATGTTCCCATCCCAGCATCCAATCACCCACATCCAGTGGCCCTGCTTCACATGGCGAAGACACATTCAGTGCCTTCTTCAGCTCCACCACCTTATCCATAGCCAGATGACGACCCAGGAGGATCTAGGCTACACAGCATCAAACAGGAACAGGGCCCCCAACATCTCCTCCCGCCTGCTAAAGCCAGCACACACACACGCGCGCACGCACACGCACTGTTGCCTCGCTTGCCTGCCTATGCAAGCTGCATTACCTGCCTGGCCCTCCGCAGCTGATCTCTGTTTTGCCACCGCGCCATTTCCCCTCATCCAGCCCCAGAACTCACAGCGAGCATGGTAGTGTCATTGGCCATGACCACCAGCTCCAACACCAGCTGCTTGCATCTGTCCCGCTGGCAATGAAGCGCTCGTTCCCACACTGCAGTATTAGTGACTGGAACTCCCTCCCCGCCGCTCTTCTGTCCCAGCCTCCCCCCAGAAAGGGAATGCAAGCATTCAAAACCAACGTTTATCGCCATCTGCGGAGCAAAACTAGCTCTGGGCAGTCGACTCGCTATGATGATGCTCTCGCGCGTCTATCCCTATCTATGCACCACAACTGGCTCGGACAATCGACTCGCCATGATCAGCCATGATGATGCTCCTCTCAGTCACAACCCATGTAATGTGTTAATAGTCTCACAGTTTCTCCCGCACACTCGCTGGTGTTAACCCTTCCTTTCTTTTCACTTTGCTGACTCGTACAGCTCTATCTTTTATTTTGGTGCGTGTTTTTGGTCGTGATGCCGAGACCTCAGGTCGGCAGAGCCATCAATGCCCCACCATCACTGTTGGGTCTCGGTGCAGCCCCTGCTCAATAGTTGTCACGTTCGTCCTAGTCTCAGTACCATTGTCTTCCTTTATTATTTTCGAGCTGGGAATGTGAACATAGTAAAGAACAAAACAAAAAACACACACACACTCACACACACACACACACACACACACACACACACAAACACACGTGTCACCTTTCTCTTTCTCACCACTGCAACATGGAACACCCCCCCCCCCCCCGGCTGTCATTTGTACTGTATCCAGCCAAAAATGTTTTATCGCTCTTGTCCGCACCCACTTTTCTATCACCCTTTATGAGCCCTCTGGTTTCATTCCACGTAAAGTAGCGATGTCATAGAGCACTATGTTATATTACTATCACCCCGCATCATTCTATCTTTTATTTTCATTTTCTCCTCAGCTTCTTCTTCATAAGCTATTGGCGGAGACTCCCTTGATTTAGGCTAAGGCCTGTGGAGAATCCATAAACACATAGACAATTAGTGCACATCTCTTAAGAGAGCATGTCTGAGAATACCAAAGTATGTGTGCAAGTGGATCTCTCCGATTTCGCTCAAAATTTGCAGGTAGGTTCCCTTTGGGGTGTGGATCGATTATGCAAAGCCCTTGAAAAAGTTTCTGAAGGGAACCTTGAAATTTGCATACCCCTCAAAAATGGCCGAAATATCACATTATTTATGGGTCTAGAAACGAGTCACGCCACAGCGTATACGAACAAGCTATGAACAAAACTCCATCAAGCCAACATTGCCTCACCTTAGAAGAGTTCCTGGAGCAGTACCGCTTAGCCACGCCAGCATCCCAGGAGACGAGGTCCATCACCCCCTGACCCCACAAATGATCGTCTTGAAAATAGCCAATTTACAAGCGCTGGCAAAACAGCCAGCTACGTCCTCAATTGGCCAGAACTATACACCGGCAGATAGTAGAACACCTCTTCTAGCGCTGAGGACATGTCCCCCATCTTCCTTTTGGGGTTTTCTTGAAATAAACGTTTTTGAATTTTTCCACTCGACCATGCTGAAATACGGCCAAAGTCATACCTGCGCAGGAAAGCTCGCTACTCCGCGACGTCTCCTCAGCAATTTCTACTCCAACACTACTCCCAAGGCCGCAGAACAAAGTGTAGTGTTGACTCTGACAAGGAAAAGCAGCGGTGATCACTTGTCACTCCAAACGACAAGCTTCTCCTTGCGCCACCAATAATTTTTTGTGCGACTGTTGCTGCAAAAGTGACTGAAGGCCTGAGCGCAGTTTTTGAATTTTATTGCAAGATGCACGGTGAGATCGCGTGCTCTGTGACGTAGGTTGACGCTTCCTGCATCACGTTACGCGGCCATCGATCGCGAATGTGCCTGGAACGCTACTCGGAACAGACCATGATGGCAGAGGTAAGATGAGCTTCATTTCCTGCTTGAACTGCTGAGAACCCCCACAAACTGTCCTAGGAGTGTTGCAATGGCAGCAAGCCGTTGGAATATGCCCCGTACAGCATGGAGAGTTATTCGTCTTTCACACTTACCTCCTGCAATCCCGAACATAGTCCAACAGTAAAAGTCCCTTGTTTTCATGTCGATGCTCGACAAAAGCGACTAGCTCGGTCCCTTTGTGTTGACTGGCACGCGAGCAGCACTGGCTGCACGCACTTGTCGCGTGAACTGGATGAGAGATTTCTTACGTCATAAAGAATGTGATTTCATCATCATTTCACTGGTCTTCGACCTACATGGTCAGGGAAAGTCCCGGTTCGTAGGCCTACAACACGGTCAGCGTGTTCTTGAGCGCCGTAACAACACAAGTGTGATCACTTCCAGACCAACGGGCGTTCAAGGCGAGTAACAAGCGCACTTGACAAAGGTGACTCTGAAATCGCGTGAGCCGTGGGCCACGCGACTTGGCATTCTTGCGTCACAAGGCACGTGATTTCACCGTGCATCTTGCAATAAAATTCAAAAACTGCGCTCAGGCCTTCAGTCACTTTTGCAGCAACAGTCGCACAAAAAATTATTGGTGGCGCAAGGAGAAGCTTGTCGTTTGGAGTGACAAGTGATCACCGCTGCTTTTCCTTGTCAGAGTCAACACTACACGTTGTTCTGCGGCCTTGGGAGTAGTGTTGGAGTAGAAATTGCTGAGGAGACGTCGCTGAGTGGCGAGCTTTCCTGCGCAGGTATGACTTTGGCCGTATTTCAGCATGGTCGAGTGGAAAAATTCAAAAAAGTTTATTTCAAGAAAACCCCAAAAGGAAGATGGGGGACATGTCCTCAGCGCTAGAAGAGGTGTTTTACTATCTGCCGGTGTATAGTTCTGGCCAATTGAGGACGTAGCTGGCTGTTTTGCCAGCGCTTGTAAATTGGCTATTTTCAAGACGATCATTTGTGGCGTCAGGGGGTGATGGACCTCGTCTTCTGGGATGCTGGCATGGCTAAGCGGTACTGCTCCAGGAACTCTTCTAAGGTGAGGCAATGTTGGCTTGATGGAGTTTTGTTCATAGCTTGTTCGTATACGCTGTGGCGTGACTCGTTTCTAGACCCATAAATAATGTGATATTTCGGCCATTTTTGAGGGGTATGCAAATTTCAAGGTTCCCTTCAGAAACTTTTTCAAGGGCTTTGCATAATCGATCCACACCCCAAAGGGAACCTACCTGCAAATTTTGAGCGAAATCGGAGAGATCCACTTGCACACATACTTTGGTATTCTCAGACATGCTCTCTTAACGGTGTTATGAAGCCCAAGGGAGTGTGGACTCATCACTAGCGATTTCCGAGGATGAGATCGCGCTTTAAAAAGAGAAAAACAAGAAAAACAAGAAGAAGGAAATGACACTGAATATGTGACTAACAAGCACAAGTTTGACTGCAATGCGACATGCGTGGACACTATTGGTTCATACACATGTACGTGTAATACTGGATATACGGGAAATGGACAAAACTACTCAGGTAGGCCGCAATACGCGTCAGCACTCAACAGCCACTGGGTTCTTGCACACCGGACCTCGTGCTTTTAACAGACAAGATTGCTCTGATAATACTCGCTATGGCAGGAGTTCGGTGAACAATTATACCGGCGCTTTTGTGCCTGCAGCACACTCATAGCAATGGTAATGTTGAAGCAAATCAAAGACCATCTTGCAAGCCTGGAGAGGAAGGGGATGTGCTAGAGTCATGCTCTTTGCCAGCAGCTAGGACAAGCATCATTATACTGTAGATATGTCCAGATAGGGTCCCTGCGAAACCGGGATGGTTGGTAGGTACAATGTGCAGAGATGGAGTGTCGGACGAGAAAGCAATCACTATGATCTAAGTGACGTGAATTTTATTTAACGAGATATGTCGAACAGCTCCCGATATCGCCTAATTCCATTCTCTGCCGCTAACAGTAATGCTTGCCGGCATTTAACATCACTCTGCATGTATGTATTTTGCTTGTCAGACGTTGATGAATGTGTATCTGGTAAATATCAATGTCACCGCAATGCTACATGCGTAGACACTATTGGTTCATACACATGTACATGTGATACTGGGTATACGGGAGATGGAAAAAACTGCTCAGGTAAGCCGCAATACGGGTTTCCACTCAACAGCCAGTTCAGTTCTTGCAAAGCAGTCCTCATGCTTCCAACTGACACGACTGTTCATTATACTATCGACAGCAGGAGTTCGGTGAAAAATAATACCGGTGCTTTTGCGTCTGCAGCACACTCAAAGCAATGGCAGTATTGAAGCAAATCAAAGACCATCTTGCAAGCCTGGAGAGGAAGGGGATGTACTAGAGTCATGCTCTTTGCCAGCAGCTAGGACAAGCAGCATTATGCTGTAGATATATCCAGATAGGGTCCTTCTAACACACCTCCGGTGGCCAAACCAACAGCCTTCCAACTTCATGTCCAACAATCAAGGACATCTGAAAGTTGTAGTTTTTGTACCCCTCTGAGGTGTGATTTTTGGCCTGCTCGGCAAGGTAAAAGTAAGCTTTCTACCAAAACAACTGAAGGAAATCGTTGTTTGATCCTTTGGTGTAATCTTTGTAGCTTGTCGAAGCTAGTTGCTGTTTGGAGCAGAAAGGCTGAAATTGACTATTTTCTGCATGTAATCATGCATGTACTCATGTAATCAGGCATGCAGTCTCTCCCGCAGTTTCCTCATTTGAAAACTAGCCTTAAGGTGGCTTAAGCCCAAATAGGAAAATACCCAAATCAAAGGTTGGGTTTTTACCCAAATCGGAAAATATTCGGCCAAATCGATTTTGTTCAAAAATGCACAGGTCTTTAATACCACCAGAGTATTGTCCTGTAGTAATAGAATATTGTCAGTCCCCAAACATGGGAAGGATTGAAACAATTCTTCATGGCTAAAACCCGATTTGAAATTTCTGGTATTTTGGATCTTTTTAAGCTGATGTGTGCACTGGATCAAAACATTATAGTCAAACATAATGGCCGAATATAATTCATTCAAATTTTGCAGAGGTATACCCAGATAGTGATGAGAAGAGTCAGCCAAGTGATAGTCCCCTGCAGCTACCAGAAGCATACTTTCAAGTACTATCAATTTGTCTATTTTTGGCAAAAATTCACTTATTACAGCTATCAAGAAAATTGAAACTGCTTTATGGATTTCCTTTAAATTAAATTTTGGTAAATATGTTCCAGTGTTTGATGAAAAAGTGCCTGCCGGGCCTCATGTTTCTGTTACGACCAGAACAAACCTTTTGATTCGATTATAAAAGCTATTCTTGTCAAAGCCACTAACGAAAAAGAAGGAACAAATTGTCACGGAGGGGGGGGGGAGGGAGGTTCGGACCCGCCAGGGGCAAAGGTCATAATACTTCTACTCATAACCTGACGCAGAGGGATGCTCAAAGGACTAGTTAGCGATTTAGGTACGAGCCACCTTAAAATTACTGGTGTGGTGGTGCATTGTGCAACATTTTCATTTCGTTTTCACCCAATTTTCAGATGCTGACGAATGTAGCAGTGATACACATGGTTGTGATGGTAACGCTACATGTACAAACTCAGTGGGAGCATACAGATGTGCATGTAACACTGGCTATGACGGAAATGGCACACACTGCACCAGTAAGTGACTATGGCTTAGCATGTAGCTTGAATGTTCCCATCCCAGCATCCAATCACCCACATCCAGTGACCCAGCCTCGTATGACGAAGACACATTCAATGTCTTCTTCAACTTCACCACCTTATTCATAGCCAGAAGATGACCGTGGAGGACCTAGGCTACACAGTATCAATGTCATAGAGCACTTTGTTAAATTACTACCTCTCGGCATTATTCGGTCTTTTAAATTTTTTCTCTCCACAGCTTCTTCTTCTTCATAAGCTGTTGACGGAGACTCCCTTGATTTAGGCTAAGGCCTGTGGAGAATCCATAAATACAAATACAATCAGTGCACATTCTTAAGTGTTATGAAGCCCAAGGGAGAGTGGAGTCATCACTAGCGATTTCCGAGGATGAGATCACTCTTAAAAAAGAGAAAAAAAAACTGAGAAAAAAGAAGAAGACAATCGTAGTGAATGTGTGACAAAGAAGCACCAGTGTGACGGGAATGCTACGGAAATGCTACTTGAATGCGGGAATGCTACATGCTACACGGGAATGCTACATGCGTAGAGACTATTGGTTCATAGACATGCATGTGTAATACTGGGTATCCGGGAGATGGAAAAAAAACTGCTCAGGTAGGCCGCAATACGCGTCGGCACTCGACATGATTGTTCTGATAATACTAGCTACAGCAACAGTCCGGTGAAAAACGATACCGGTGCTTTCGTCCGTGAAAGGGCACTCAAAGCAATGGCAATATTGAAGCAAATCAAAGACCATCTTGAAAGCCTGGAGAGGAAGGGGATGTACTAGATTCATGCTCTTTGCCAGCAGCTAGGACAAGCAGCATTATACTGTAGATATGTCCAGATAGGGTCCCTGCGAAATCGGGATGGTTGGTAGGTACAATGTGCAGAGATGGAGTGTCGGACGAGAAAGCAATCACTATGATCAAAGTGACGTGAATTTCATTTCAACGAGATATTTCGAACAGCTCCCGATATCACCTAATTCCATTCTCTGCCGCTAACAGTAATGCTTGCAGGCATTTAACATCACTCTGCATGTATGTATTTTGCTTGTCAGACGTTGATGAATGTGTATCTGGTAAATATCAATGCCACCGCAATGCTACATGCGTAGACACTATTGGTTCATACACATGTACGTGTGATAGTGGGTATACGGGAGATGGAAAAAACTGCTCAGGTAAGCCGCAATGCGCCTTTCCAGTCAAATGTTGTAGTTTTCTTGTTAGGCATCTGAGTGTTGATTTCAGTAGTCAAGCCAAGCCAAATAGGGTGGTTGGGCTTTCTTTTCAGGGTTGGTGGCTACCCATACTAACAAACTCATTCGGTTTGGAGCGCAAAAATCGGAACTCCGCATGATGCTTCTCGAAATTGGCCTTGTAGATTATCTTCATTTCCTCAAGAAGTAGAGCCAGCTATGTGGTTCATATGCTAAACATTAGATATTTGACATTGAATCAGTGTGAAGTACCCCGTGGAGCACGGTTTACTGAATCTAATGTTGGCTGATGTGTGCAATGGATCAAAACATTATAGTCAATCATAATGGCCCGACATAATTCATTCAAATTTTGCAGACGTATACCTAGATAGTGATGCCAAGTTATAGCCCCCTGCAGCTACCAGGAACACACTTTGTCAAGTACTACCACTTTGTAGATTTTTTTCGTAAATTTAATTATTTATGCCAAGAAAATTGAAAATGCTTTATTGACTTTCCGTAAATTTGGTAAATATGTTCCGGTGATTGATGACAAAGTGCCTGCCAGGTTTCATGTTTCTGTTACGACCAGAACAAACCTTTTGATTCGATTATAAAAGCTATTCTTGTCAAAACCAGTAACGAAAAAGAAGGAAAGAATTGTCACCGGGGAGGTTCGAACCTGCGCGGGGGAAAAAGGTTATAATATTTCTACTCAAACCTGCCCAGAAGGATGCTGAAAGGACTAGTTGTTGATTTAGGTACACGTCCCCTTAAAATTACTGGTGTGGTGGTGCATTATGCAACATTTTCATTTCGTTTTCACCCAATTTTCAGATGCTGACGAATGTAGCAGTGATACACATGGTTGTGATGGTAACGCTACATGTACAAACTCAGTGGGAGCATACAGATGTGCATGTAACACTGGCTATGACGGAAATGGCACACACTGCACCAGTAAGTGACTATGGCTTAGCATGTAGCTTGAATGTTCCCACCCCACATCCAATCACCCACATCCAGTGGCCCTGCCTCGTATGACGAAGACACGTTCAGTGCCTTCTTCAGCTCCACCATTATTATCCATAGCCAGATGACGACTCTGGAGGACCTAGGCTACACAGTGTCAAACAGCGCAAGGCGCCCCCAACATCTCCTCCCGCCTGCTAGAGCCAGCACACATACACCCGTGCCACTTTTCTTTTTGTCACCACTGCCACATGGAACTCCCTCCCCGCTACCATTCATTCTGATGAAGCCCAAAATGTTTCATCGCTCTTGTTTGCACCCACTTTGCTATTACCCGTTATGAGCCCTCTGGTTTCATTCCACGTAAAGTAGCGATGTCATAGAGCACTATGTTATATTACTACCACCCCGCATCATTCTATCTTTTATTTTTATTTTCTCCTCAGCTTCTTCTTCATAAGCTATTGGCGGAGACTCCCTTGATTTAGGCTAAGGGAGAATCCCAAACACACATAGACAATTAGTGCACATCTTTTAACGATGTTATGAAGCCCAAGGGAGTATGGACTCATCACTAGTGATTTCCGAGGATGAGATCGCGCTTTAAAAAGAGAAAAAAAAGAAAAACAAGAAGAAGGAAATGACACTGTACATGTGACTAATAAGCAGCAGTTTTACGGGAATGCTACAAATGTAGACACTATTGGTTCATACACATGTATGTGTAATACTGGATATACGGGAAATGGACAAAAAAACTGCTCGGGTAAGCAGCAATACGCGTTTCCACTCAACAGCCACCGTGTTCTTGCACAGCAGACCTCGTACATCCAACGGGCACGATTGTTTTGATAATACTAGCGGCAGCAGGAGTCCGGTGAAAATGATACCGGTGATTTTGTGCCTGCAGCACACTCAAAGCAATGGCAATATTGAAGCGAATCAAAGACCATCTTGCAAGCCTGGAGTGGAAGGGGATGTACTAGGGTCATGCTCTTTGCCAGCAGCTAGGACAAGCAGCATTATACTGTAGATATGTCCAGATTGTGTCCCTATGAAATTGGGATGGTAGCCTGGGATGACATGCACCGATGGCGTGTCAGATGAGTAAGCAATCACTATGAAATAAGTACCGTGATTTTCATTTCGACGGGAGATTTCGAACAGCTCCCGATTTTGCCTGGTTTCGCTCTCTGCCGCTAACAGTAATGCTTGCAGGCATTTAACATCACTCTGCATGTATGTATTTTTCTTGTCAGACGTTGATGAATGTGTATCTGGTAAATATCAATGCCACCGCAATGCTACATGTGTAGACTCTATTGGTTCATACACATGTACGTGCGATACTGGGTATACGGGAGATGGAAAAAACTGCTCAGGTAAGCCGCAATACGCGTCGGCACTCAACAGCCACCGTGTTCTTGCACAGCGGACCTCGTGCTTCCAACAGACACGATTGTTCTGATAATATTAGCGACAGCGAGGGGATGCACTAGAGTCATGTTCTTTGCCAGCAGCTAGCGCAAGCAGCATTATGCTCTAGATATGTAAAGGTAGGGTCCTTCTAACACACCTCCAGTGCGCAAACCAACAACCTTGGTAGTTTCATGGTTACTTAGGACTGAAGAGGGGAAGGTGAGCTTGTGTTAGAGCTAGGTCTCAGGTCGCTGAATGTCTCAGTAGCTTGTCAGTTGTGAGCCCTATTATCCCATTTTCTGACTGTTTATCATCTTGTTACTGTCGTAGAATGATAGTTGCCGCATAACCCATTCTCATGTGTTTCTTCTCTCCTTTTTTACATTCTAAGTACAAATTGTACCTGTACAGTTTGCAGTCTGCTTGTGACAACTCCAAGCTTACAGCCTTGGAGATAGTGTCCTCGGGAATTCAGGCCTACAATCAGCTGATTTGGGTGTTCTTTATTGTATCCACTGTGGTTGCAGAACACTCGCAACGTTCGACTTTCTAGCGTAGTCAGGCAATGATACCGAACCACATTCGTCAGGCGGCTCTTTCTTGCTGGCGAAATTTGTGGCGTTCGAAGGTGGTATTCACCGCCGGCCTGAAATGTGCTTTTACAGCGACTCATGGTCAGCGCCTCGTAGGTGTCTTGGCCACTCTGAGGAGCGATGACCAGCCCTTTCACAAATATCCGGATGTTGAGACCTGCCAAGTTCAGGAACAACGTTTTTTGCTCTTCGTGATTGGTCACACCACAGATCGACAAATAATGGTTCATACCTTCCAAGCAAAGCTCAAAGGCGGAACTAACATCCCCTGAATAGTCAGGGATAAAATCCTTGGGCGCTCTGCCCTTAGTTGTAATGTACTGCTGTTCACTGCGCCAATGTGTTGCATGCACGACTCGCACACATACAAGAACCAACACACCATTACTAGATCGTCCTGACAAGAAGCATTGCAAATGTGCAGCCTGCACAGTATGTAGGTTACCCCACTGCTATATGCCCGCAGTACTCCTTTTTCCATTATGCCAGTGTGTTTATAAGCATACTGTCGGGTAACTATGTATCGATTTTTTTGCCTGTCAGATTCTGATGAATGTGTATCTGGCAAACATCAATGCCACAGCAAAGCTACATGCACAAACACATTCGGTTCATACGCATGTAGGTGTAAAACTGGGTATATGGGAAATGGAACATTCTGCTCGGGTAAGTTGCTACTGTCAGATCATATTCTCACGTCAAGTAAAGTGCATGTGTAGCGGGCCGCAGTCTCTCGGAGGCAAAACACACACACACACAGGTCTCAGTGAACACACTGTTGTTTATTATTACTGAGCTGCAATAAGGACTGGAATGAAGGTTGAACTCGCTAACTCTAACTCTAAATGAATTGTGACAGTAGTTTTAATAGGTTCAGACTCCGTACGCTAACGGACCGGGAATACGCTATATTGGAAACTGGATCGGTACGTGTAGCATACGTTAACGACTATGCCCAGGGGATATGCTGCATTCGGAAAATTGATCAGTACGCGCAGCCGAATTAAAAATAGAAGAAAAAAGTAAATTATTTTGTCCGTTCCCGAAGGGAACTCACGACCGCCGCTAACACCATGTAAACCGGGCGCAGTGAGTGTTTATTTATTCAACATCTTAGTGGCCATGAAAGGAATGCATGGCAGGCTGAATGGATGAATGGAGTAAAGTGGTGGCCTCCACTTTGGCAGCAGTCCCTGCGAGCAAAATGCAGTGGTTGTAACAAGCATGCCAATTACCAAAGTGATTGTAACTGTGTGAGCTACCAGTGAGCCACCACTACACATGCTCGACTCACACGCACGCACGCATGCACGCACGCACGCACGCACGCACGCCCACCCACCCACCCACACACACACACACACACACACACACACACACACACACACACACACACGCACACACACACACACACACACACACACACACACACACACAAGAACCAACACGCCATTACTAGATCGTCCCGACGAGAAGCATTTCAAATGTGGAGCATGCGCAGTGTGTAGGTTACATTTCCCCAACATGCGCGCATAAATCCTTTTCTCTATGCCAGTGTGTTTATAAGCATACCATTGGGTAACTATGCATGTATTTGTTTTTGCATGTCAGACTCTGATGAATGTGTATCTGGCAAACATCAATGCCACAGCAAAGCTAAATGCACAAACACGGTTGGTTCATACACATGTATGTGTAACGCTAGTATTGGGTATATAGGGAATGGAACATTCTGCTCATGTAAGTCGCTACTGTAGGATCCCATATTCTCACGTCGAGTAAAGTTAAGTCTTGATGGTTAGCGAGGTGAAATATGAACGGATTCTGCCTGTCATAACTCGTAAATGACTGTACAATCGCATTGCTTTGCATAAAAAGACATCAAGATGTGATGCATTTCCCTGCTGGCGTATTGCAGTACAATGTACTTACTAGACTAACTTCTCCATTGTTACACAGAGCCTGTGAGCCTTAACCTGCAATAGTGCTCAAATACCCGGAATGGGCAGAGCGTAGTACGCGAGAGGTACACAAAAGGAAGTAAATCGGGCTGTTTTGTTGTAACTCAGAGTTTCATGGCAAAAACCAATCATCAGACATTAGAAAACATTTTTTTTCTAATCTCCTTATGTTGTCTGATGATTGGTTTTTGCCATGCAACTCTGAGTTACAACAAAACAGCCCTATTTACTCCCTTTTGTGTACCTCTTGTCCATTGTTAAAAAGTTGAAGCTTGAACTTCATATCCACTTTGTTGATGGGGTACTTACCCTGCACCTGCAACCCAGTACTCCTGTTATTTATGAGAGTGTGTTTATAAGCATACTGTTGGGTATCTATGTATGTATTGGTTTGGCTGTCAGACAATGATGAATGTGTATCTGGCATACATCAATGCCACAGCAAAGCTACATGCATAGACACAATTGGTTCATACAAATGCAGGTGTAAAACTGGGTATGCAGGGAATGGATCATTCTGCTCAGGTAAGTTCCTATTGTAAGATCACATATTGTCCAGTCAAGAAAAGTTAACTCTTGTTGGTTTGAGAGGTGAAATATGAACGGATTCTGGCTGTCAAAACCCGTAAATGACTGTACAATCGCATTGCTTTGCACAAAAAGACATCAAAATGTGATTCATTCTCACTATTGCCATATTGCAGTACATGTACTGTCTAGACTAGTAGTCTTACTTTTCCATTGGGTGGGGAGTCCCCGGTAGTACACTATGCACTAAACTTGCCTGTGACCTGGGAGACTGTGGGTTCAAGCCCCGCAGTCGGCAAATCTGACTGCAAAATCCCCAGGATGCAGCTCACCAGATAAAGGTCCGGGTCCTCTTCACTCAGTAGAATTGAACCGAGGGTGCCGTAACTGTTGGTGCCAAAAGCCGGGCTCATGCCCCTATATTGGAATGAAGATTGTAAAAGCGCTCGTTAGTGGTCACAATGTAACATTCGAGATGTGGTTCAAGCGTTTTCTTGTGGCAATCATCAGCAATCAGTCACCACAATGGGGTATAGTTGAAAAAGGAATCAGAATATTAGACAGTAGTCAAGACAGGTCAACAACATCACAGAAGACCTCAGGCCTCTGAATGTGCCGATTCAGGAATGCCTCGACCTCGTCACCAATGTTGAGTCCGAAGAAGGACGACTGACGACATCTTCTCCAGACATTACAACGGACAACGGGAACAAGTTATTGGGAAGGACATTTATTATAGACAACGAGACAAGAGACCAAGACGAACAAACGACTATGTTGAAGAGTGAGAAAAAGATTATGGAAGAGAGCGAGAGCTTTGAAGAGAGCGAGTTGAAGAGAGAGAGAGCTCGACTGAAATACTACGCAATATAAAGGGACTGGGTAGATATGGCAAACACGGGCACGCAAGTAGCTACCCAGGCCAACGGAACGAAAGGTGAGTATGACCTAGTAAGGGTGCATGCAGGCCGGCTAGAAGAGGGACGGGGGGGGAGTTACCTAATACCAACCAGCAACTCTGGTTAATGATTATTGACAGATGCATGAACCCCATAATTATGACTCGTTTATGCGGGCAATATGCGACCTGTTCCTATTATAATGACTAAGTCAGTGAGAAACAGTTTGTGCAACGATTGCCGGAAACGAGCCATGGCTACACATGCCGATTGAATTTTAGGTTTTTTTTTGGGGGGGGGGCTAGACTTGGCCTTGTGACCTCAAGGGCCACACATGTCAGCATATGGATGATTTCGAAAGGATGTTACTTGAAAACAACGTCCAAATCAACGAGCAATGTCGCTTGTTGTTACTAGGAGCTGGCAATTGGTGCACCTACGAGAAAAAGTCCGCACCAATTGCCAAACCAGACTGTCAACAGTAATGCAGGTCATTCTCGGACCTGTTACATGGGTGTGTTTTTGGTGTGCATCAATTTACCCCTCCTCAGATGTTAATGAATGTGCAGGTGAAGTGTTTAGATGTGACCTTAATGCTGTGTGTAAGAACTCTGTAGGCTCTTACACATGTCACTGTAGCGCCGGATATGAAGGAAATGGAACATTCTGCTCCAGTAAGTTTCAGTAGCGTTGATGCCACCCGAATGGTTCTATGCGAACATACCGTCAGTACCCATCGCTCAATAAGAATCACACTCATACCTCGGTTATCCAAACACCGAAGTTACGTCCGCTGCGGTCTACTGGGCACCCGTTGGCCGAGTTTCAGTGAAAATATTACCACTCTTTCCGTCTCGTTTTGTGTAGATAGCCATGCCATATTATGCCATTATCTATGGCCTTTCCTTATCAAAATGCATATGATTCGAAGTTACTGGCATGTAGACATTACGGGCAGCGCCCGGTCCCGGACCGCCCGGAGAAACGAGGCATGATTGTAGCGCCAATACTGAATCCAGTTTCGTATAATAGATTCTTGGCAGGGGCGTAGGAGGGCAGTTTATTCTGGTACGGTCAGCCGTCTGAAGTAAGAGCTACTCATGGGGAGGGGTGGCAGAGCCGAAATATTTGGAAAATTTAGGGCCCAACACAGTGGATTTTCTTGATTCACTGGGTACCTGGGAAACAGAGTGGTGGGGTCAATACCGTAGTGACCATAGCGTGTCCGCCGCCCCTGCTTGATTGGAGGGAAGCCAATCAGTGCACGAAGCACAGAAGCCGTAATTGCACATACTGTACCAGAAGAAATATTCGTTTGGAATTTATTTTCATCTTTTTCGTCCAAGGACCTTTTGGACTAAAGTAAATGCCGGACTAATGTCGCTTCGTCCAGCTTTTCCATACCATTATTTTTCAAATCGATGTCGATGTCATGGGGATCAGTGATATCTGCATCCTTTATCGCAGTTTGCTGTGCACAATTGATCCACTGCTACTCAAAAATCACCGTGACTCGTAGACACCTGGTATACAACAGGCTAGCCATGCTTAGTTTGCGCTGTCAAGTGACATGAATGCAGTGCAGTGTACGTGGTACATGACTGTACTCTCAATCTCCGTGCAAATTCTTGATGCAAGTAGACGGGTGTCCTGTAGATGTGAGCAGGGCATGTACACAGACATGGCTATTGTGCTAATCAAAAAACAAAGATTGCTACACACTTGAGATTTGTAAAGCAAAAACTGCTAAAAACTGCTATGCAATAATAGCAGTAGATTCATCCCTGTCCTTGCAGCTAAAACTGTTTTGGAGGGTGACTTTATCTTTGAAATAATTCTAGCACAATAATTACTGGCGAAGTGCAATCCAATTTTAATAAGGCATTGTGGCTCTCACATCAGCAACATGATGCAAAGAGAAGAACAATGGCCAGGCTTGGGCACAAGACAGTACTTGTACCGATTTTATTTATTTACCAAAGTATCTCATAGCACAGTGAGAACACCGGCCAATACAAAGAGAGAGGGTGTTAGCCAACCATGGCAAGGAAGGGAGAAGGGGAGAAGAAGAAAAAGGAACCGGCATGGATAAGCAGTGATTAAGAAATTAAATTTTATTCTCTATCCGTAAGAGTGCATGCATGAGCTAGCAGTCTGAGTACACCCTGAACCGACCACATACATGTGCAGTGTGCCACTGACATGCACCCGTATCGGCTCGTCTAAAAAGTCACGCTTCTCGTAGTGACTCGGTTAGTCCGAGTGTCCGGCAGCTCCAGCAATGCCTCCGCGCTTATGGATTGAAGCGCAGATGCATCTCCCAAAGCACTGTTGCACCTCCAAAGGCTTCCAAAGCACAAATGCTTATCTTTCATCGTCTACATTACTACGCAGTTCATGCGCAATACCTTTGCTCACAAGTATGGTGGCAGATCATTCACCTTTCCCTCCACTTCCTTATGTGTGCTTCTTTATTTCAACT